CTCATTAACCCTCACAGAAGTTTTGGGAGGTGAGTCCTTTTTCTGTGATGCATAGACTTTGAAGGTGAGCAGACTCAGGCTGGCCGGCCCCACGGATCTCTGAATTACCTGAAACACAAAAGCAATCTGAAGTCTTCTCTCAATGCTACAACCTGAGTGTGTACTACAAGCATATCTGCAACCTCAGCCACTCCTGCCCTGAAAGGCTTACTGTGCTGTGTTCCTGAAGTTTTCTGGAAGTCAGAATCTAAAAAACATGTTCTCACAGACTTAAAATTTCAGGTCACCTGTAATTTCCCGAAGACAGTAATTCCTAAGTTTTTCTACTTAGCCTTTCAAGTAAAATAAAAGATGTCTACGTACACACATAGACAAATGCACTTTTAGAAATAATAGAGCAAATGCTATGGAATAAATTTAAAATTATAAAATAGTCTCCATCTCTCTCTCTCTCACACACACACACACACGCACCACCCCCAACACAACAAGGAGAGGCATTGTTAATGAGCTTACCTAGTAATTCAATGAACAGAGTGGAGATTATTTCTGTAATTCTAATAATCAAGCATTCAGAGGCTCTCCCTTTCCATTCTCATCCAGAACTCGTCCCCGATCTCAGTTCCCAAACTCCATCTCTCTGTGCCTTGCTTTCCCTGACTGGGTCACTCACGCTCATGGCTTCGCCATGAAGGCAGTGACTCCCATCCCAGACATGCAGCTCCAGCCCAGAGCTCTCTCCTGAGCTCCCAACTCACTTATCCTATTACTTGTGGACAGTGCCACCTAGATGGGACATCAGCTCCCCAGATCAAGCATGTCTAAAACCAACTCATCAAGACCTTGCCTGTGCCTCCAAGTCAACACTAGGCCTGATGGGTAGGTGTGTGCTGTGAAATCAAGTCAGAAAGTTTTTTCTCAATGATCCCTTCCATCTACACAGCACTTGACCATCTAGCATCTTTTCCCTAGACCTGGTCCTCTTCCTGTACTTCCTGTCTCAGGAATGGTGTGACTACCCAACTAGATAATCTGATCAGGAACTCTGAGGTCATCTTCACCAACACCCCCATCCCACTGGTCATAAGTCCGGTAATTTTGCCTATTAAACAATCTCATTCACCTTCACTATCCCCTCCTGTACAATCTTCCTTTGGGCCCTGGTTTCTTTCCTAGATTGTTTTAGCAGCATTCTAACTGCACACCTGGCCCTCTGATGACTCAAACCACGACAATGCAAAAGAATGGTATTTCTAAATTGCAGACCTGATTGTCTTCTACGCTTATTTGAGATCCTTCAGCATTTATTGCCTAGGACTTTTATGTGGGCCAAACGAGGCCCGTTATAATCTGGCCCCAACCACCTTCTCTAACCTCATCTCTGTCACTCTGCTTTCTCCCACAAAACTGGAACTCCCTATATTTCTCCCATGTTGTTTCCCAGCTTCATGAGTTCACACCTGCTGATTCCTAGGCCTAGAAAGTTCTATACTTGCTTTGTCTTTCTGTACAACTGCTTAAGAACAGGGAAATTCGTTGCTTTTCTTTTCTTATTTATCCATTTACTTATGTTGATCAAGTTCTCCCTATCTGATTGGAAGCCCTTTCAGGATGGGGCTGTGTCTTAATCTGTATTCCTAGTCTTATGACTGCCCAGCACATAAACACTCAATAACTGCCTGCATCAATGGACGGAAGAGAGGTGAAAAATAAATGAGTGGTGGACTTGTTCTAACTACTTCAGCATGGTTTAGCATCACAGAAGTCATATTGCTGAGATCTGCAGTGCCTGTAATATGAAAGACTAAGCTATTCTGTAATACTCACCAAACACGTTAGATAAAACAAAAACGTCTGCTGAAATGTCTGCCTGCAATCACACACAAAAAAGGAAATTCCCAGATTCCAGAAGCAAATAAAGAGCTAGAAGTGATTTAAAGGAGTGGTTATTACTTTAACTGTTTTAAAAATAATGAACACATCCTGAAGTATTAAGTATTTGTGTTGAAAGGTCTTAGTTTCATGGCAATATTGCTACAAATCTCGTTTGCTTCCAGGGTAAAGATTAGTCAGCTACTGCTGACACAGTCAGCGAGGTCCCTCCCAACACCCCACGAGAGGACCCATTAGGCTGTTGGTATCTAGAGGTGCGAGCTCAGTGCTCTCTGCCCCCTGGGTTTGTCCACAACCTACTAACAACGCTGCTTGAACTGGGGACTTTCCACGGAGCCAGCCGGCCCCGCCCTGGACTTTGTTTCCCAGGCCCTTCCCGGTAGGCAAGAGCTGGTACCATGCCCCTCCCCCACTCCCCATCAGGCACCCGATCCTCTGAGCTTTTGGGGTTCATATTGTCCCCTAGCTTCACCCTCATTTGATATGCTGCCTTATGTTGACCTTAATTCTTGATCCCTGCTTTCAATCCTTAATCCTATCTACTTTTCAGATATTCCAATTTTCATTTCATGGCCTTCTACTGTTTTAATTCAGATTTCCAGTTTTTATGTACTTGACTATTCTCAATCGCAACTCGTTTACTTTTAAATTTTAACATTTTATTGAACTCTTGACTGTTAATTTCTACTTTATTTTTCCCTCTTATGCCTTTTTCTCACTTTAGTATTATGCTAAGCCTGCCTTTATCGCCCAAGTTGTTTTCTTCCTCTCCTGTTATTCTTTCCCCTCCAAGCCCACCCTCACGCCCATTCCACAGCAAGAACTGTGGCCACAGGGCGGTAGCACCTAAGAAAGCCACCTCCTGTAGTTGCCCTTTGAGCTTCCTGCAGGCTGTCCACAAACAAACAAAAGAAAGAAAACACAAACGTCATCCCAAGAAACAGGAAATCCACAGAGCCCGAATTCTCTCTGCAGAGAGCACAAAACTTACTTCGGAGTTTCTCGATCCCTGCACTATTGCTATTTGGGGCTGGGTCATTCTTTGCTGTAATGCCGTCCTGTGCACTGTATCCCTGGGCTCCAGTCACTAGATGCCAATAGCACCCCCCCCCAGTCATGAGTCAAAAATGTCTCCAGACACTGCCAGGTCTCCTGGGGGGCATTCCCCACACCGCATTGAGAGGTACTGATTTAGCTGAGTAAATATTATTGGTGACATTTCTCACCCTCCAGACTTTAAGAAAATATGTATATTTTAAAACCCATGTCCTCAAACCTAGTACACAGTGACAAAATCAGAACAGTAGATGCCTGGGGGTGAAGGGTGGGGGGGAGGGACTTACTGAGAGGGGCACAAGGGAACTTTCTGGGGTGATAGAAATGATCCATATTTTGTTTGGGATGCGGGTTACAGAAGGCATATACATTTGTCAAAACTCAAATTGTTGTAAGATCTGTACAACTTAAAATCTGTGCAACTCACTCTATGTAAACTATATCTCAAAAAGAATCCATGTGCACCTAAACCAGGCCGAATTCAGGCCCAAATATGGTGGGAATTGCCGGCCAAGGGTCCGTCTCAAAGTAAGGACCCCAATGTATTAGCCTGTCTGAGGTTTCTAATGTAGCTGTAAGAGATACATAGTCATAGGAAAAACTAAAATTTGGCTCAAACAAAGGTGAGTTGGTGATTCTTAGCTCTGCAAACCTGGGGCAGTGGTGTCCCAGTAAGTTCTCTGGCTCATGTGGTTAAACCTTTCTTTCTTTCTGATTCTATTCCCCAGCAAGATATCTTCTACTGTCCCTACCAAGGTACATTCTCCATCTTAGACCTTTGGACTCTGTCTTTCAACTTCTGTTTTACATAGTCCACAGGAGGCTTAATCGTCAGTGGAAACAGCACCAGGATTGGCAGTTGGCTGGATAGTGCCCTAACAAGAAGTATTGTAAAGGGGTAGGCCACCGTTGTCTTAACTTCTTTCTCCATGGAAGCTCATCAAGGACTGATAAGAGCAAAACAAATCTGGGAAAGTAACCAGGGTTATATATAGCAATTATAAGGGGTCAACTAGAATATTATTTCAAAAAGAAATATTTATTGCCTGACTACTCCGTGTCAGGCACAGTGCTAGACAGGACACACACTTAAGCAGATGTGGTCCCTGCCCTTACAGAGTTTCCAGGAAGCTTATGAGTTTACGCAAAAGACTCAGGTCACAGTTTTTAAAATCAAATTTTTCTTTTATAAAGACTCAGGCATAAGATTGAATTTAGCCTTCAGCTCCTGCGGCAAGAGCAGATTCTTGGGCACAGCTAACCAAGACACGAATCTGGTGAGGTCATAAACACTCAGATCATAATGGGTACTCAGAGGGCTAAACTGTCCTTGTTTTGCAAATCAAAGTGCATTGCCCAGAACTCTAGGTCCAAGACCACTTTCTGACTGTGTGCCAGTAAAACTGTTTTAGAGACAAAAACCTCAAGCCGCCCACCCTCAGAAATATTCAAGGATGCTTAATAATGGTGGGTCTCCAATGTTTACAACTGGTTTTCTTTTTCAACTTTATGGAGAATCCAGTATATAATCTCTTCCATTTTTAACACGTTGAGGACGGGGCATTTAAATACAATATATAGACGCAAATCTGCTTCACCGGTCCACAATGTGTTAAGAAGGTGACTCTATCCACCCACGATTACAGATCTATTACCTTAGTAGACCTTCCATTTAAAATATGTACCACTTTCCTTTTTGATAAAATGGAAGCCTCGCTTTGTAGGCCTGTGTACACGAGGTTTGAGAATCACCTGGGGAGTTTTTGGAAGCACAGATTCCCAGACTGTCTCATTCGGTAAACTTAAGATGGGCCCAAGAATCTATTCTCATGATCAGCCAAGTTTTGAAAATCACTATTCCACAAACAGATGCTTGGGGAACAGTTATTCAACTTCAGCTGAATTTGCATAAACACTCAAACATACTTACTTTTAGAAACATCTAAAAGAATGAAATTAAAATTGTCCTAACATAAAAAGAAATAGTGACTGGACACCCACTAGGGAAGTTATGGGATTTATTTACATTCAAGAAGGTCTTACACCTCTTAAAACACAACCAATACCCTCCACCCTAATTCCTTTTCTACCACCCTATCCTTCTATCTCCCACCACTGATAAATGTATTTTGAAAATAGACTATGGTTAGAAGGCAAAA